TCAGGCATAGAACAGAAAACTCAGCAATCTCTTAGAATCATCATCGACATGAAATCACATGCACATCACAGATGCTTCAAAGTAGGCATGTGAAAAGCTAAACTAAGGYTAAGTGAAGGCATACTTTAAGTGATAAGAAGATAAACGATACTATTTTATTCATGCTTCAGCTGAGCTCGAAACATAATCAATACAAAAAAAAACATGCGTAGTAATAAGAATAGGCAAACTACGTCATTAACCAAAAGAGTAATACAAAAAAAAATAGCAAAGAAAGAACCTCCCCTTCATGAAGTCGGAGGTTGTGGACTAGGATCAGTGTCGGTACTGGAAGATGGATGACCAAGGATAGCAGCTAGCGCTGGAGGCCATGAAGGTAAAACCGCAAAATCCAATGAAGCCCTCATGTTGTAGATATGTTGCACGACTTCTCGAACCTGAGAGTTTTCGAAATGCTGGAAAAACAGGGCAGGCGCCAGGCGCCCGCGTGATTTKTATTTTTCGCAAAGGGCAGGCGCCAAGCGCCTGCGTAATTCTTTTTTTTTTCTCAACGTTTTTTTTTCTTTCTTTTTTTTTGTTTTTTTTAACGTTTTCAAAAACATTCTCTTAATAAGAAAAACTTTTTATAATTAAACAAAAATAATATACAAGATACAAAGACTTCCTTCCTTTACTTTTGTTCTTTAAAAAACGGATAAGAAGGAAAAACATTTTTCGCAAACATTTATTGACCTGAAAGTTGAATAGAGGTTTTTCCTCTATCCACTGGTTCTCCAAAATACGGCTTAAGTCTCTGCCCATTTACTTTAAAAANACTCTCGAGATCGCGGGCAGCGGAGGTTCATACCTGGAGTGAACGTTTCAGGTCGACAAGATTTTAAGCGTCGATCTGATGGACAGTCATCGAGACAGGTGAGTGCAGGTAGTGTCTATCAAAGACAGACTCAAAGAGCCCCCAGACAGTCTGCGAGTTCAGTAGCAAGGCCATGGACGGGTCAGGGGTTCGCTGCTAGCGAATCCAAGAGAACTCCTTGTCCGAGTTGTGGCAAGAATCATCGAGGTCGATGTCTTGTGGGCGCTGGTGTGTGTTATCAGTGTGGACAACCAAGGCATCTAAAAAGGGATTGTCCACAACTGAGGGAAGTTATACAGAAGAACCAGGGCATCGAATCCCATACAGTTGAGCAGCCAAGAGTCTCAATCGCTGTAGGAGAGGCCACCACTGGTGTAAGGCAGAAAGGAGTCGTGGGGAGACCTAAGCAGCAGGGAAAAGTCTTCGCCATAACTCAGCAGGAAGCGGAGGATGCACCAGACGTGATTACTGGTACGATTTTGATTGATAATGTACCTGCTCATGTTTTATTAGATCCAGGTGCTACGCATTCCTTTGTTTCTAGAGTGTTTCTAACTAAATTGAATAGGATGCTAGAGCCTTTATCTGAGGAGTTAGATATATACACACCAGTCGGTGATGTTCTTTTAGTTAATAAAGTGTTGCGTGGTTGTGAAGTTTTTGTAGAAGGTCTCAGTATGTTAGTGGATCTTCTTCCACTAAAGTTGCAGGCATTGGATGTAATTTTGGGAATGGATTTCTTATTCACTCACTATGCTTCTATGGATTGCCATAGGAAGAAGGTGATTTTTAAGAAACCAGGTTTAACTGAAGTGGTTTTCAGGGGCAATAGGAAGATTGTTCCTATGAGTGTGATTTCAGCCTTGAAAGCTGAGAAGTTGTTAAGGAAGGGTTGCACAGCGTTTCTTGCACACGTTGTAGGGGTGCAAGAAGAAAAGCTGAGACCACAAGATGTTCCTGTAGTGGATGAGTTTCTTGATGTTTTTTCAGCTGATCTACCAGGAGTGCCACCTGATAGAGAGGTGGAGTTCACGATTGAATTGTTACCAGGAGCAGCACCTATTTCGCAGGCACCGTATAGAATGGCTCCAAGCGAGCTTAAGGAGTTAAAGATGCAGCTACAAGAACTAGTTGACAAGGGATACATTAGGCCTAGTGTGTCACCTTGGGGAGCTCCGGTGTTATTTGTGAAAAAGAAAGATGGTACCCTGAGATTATGCATTGACTACAGGCAGTTAAACAAGGTCACGATACGTAACAAGTATCCTCTATCTCGCATCGACGACTTGTTTGACCAATTAAGGGGAGCATCAGTGTTCTCCAAGATTGATTTGAAGTCAGGATACCACCAATTAAAGGTTAGGGAATCAGATATTTCTAAAACAGCTTTTAGGACGAGGTATGGGCACTATGAGTTTGTAGTGATGCCATTTGGTTTAACGAATGCGCCAGCAATGTTTATGGACCTTATGAATAGGATCTTTCATCAGTACTTAGATCAGTTTGTGATAGTGTTCATCGATGACATACTAGTGTATTCCATTGATAGAAAAGCTCATGAGAAACATTTTAGGACTGTTCTACAAACACTACGTGGTAAGCAATTGTATGCTAAGTTCAGCAAATGTGAGTTCTGGTTGGATCAGGTAGTGTTCTTAGGGCATGTAGTTTCGGCGAACGGAGTACGTGTGGATCCGCAGAAAGTGGAAGATGTTGTTAACTGGGAGAGACCAACTAGTGCAACGGAGGTACGTAGTTTCCTTGGCTTGGCCGGATACTACAGACGTTTTGTTGAGGATTTCTCAAGACTAGCTTTACCCTTGACAACTTTAACAAGGAAGAATGTTAAGTATGAGTGGTCGAATAAATGTGAGCAAAGTTTTCAGGAACCGAAGAAAAGGTTAGTGACAGCACCTATTCTGGCACTTCCTGTAACAGGGAAGGAGTATGTGATCTATTGTGACGCTTCGAGGCAAGGACTAGGTTGTGTGCTTATGCAAGAAGGAAAGGTAATAGCTTATGCTTCAAGACAGTTGAAGAAGCATGAGTGTAATTACCCTACTCATGATCTTGAGCTAGGAGCAGTTATTTTAGCACTGAAGATTTGGAGACATTATTTATTCGGTGAGAAGTGCCACATTTTTACAGATCACAAGAGTCTAAAGTATATCTTTGACCAGAAGGAGCTAAATCTGAGACAGAGGCGATGGCTAGAACTGATTAAAGATTATGACTGTACCATAGAATATCATCCAGGTAAGGCTAACATAGTAGCAGATGCATTACGTAGGAAGTCAAGACTTCCGAAGAGTGCCTGGTGTGGTATTCGAGCAAGCTTGCTAAGTGAGTTAAGAAGTTTTAGAGCGAATGTGACCGCAGGAAGCTCAGGGAGTCTTTTAGCTAAATTTCAGGTTAGGTCGTCTCTAGTAGCAGAGATAATGAGAAGGCAGCCTGGGGATAGTAATTTGCAGAAAATGTTTGCAAAGTCTAAGGAAGGCCCGGGGTCTGAATTTGAGTTGAGAGCAGACGGAGCCATAGTTAAGCAGGGAAGGTTATGCGTACCGAGTATTTCTGAGCTTAAGAATGCTATCTTAGAGGAAGCTCACATCTCAGCTTACGCTATGCATCCAGGAAGTACCAAGATGTATAGAACGCTAAAGGGAACGTATTGGTGGCTTGGTATGAAGCGGGAAATAGCTGAGTATGTTGATAGATGTTTGATCTGCCAACAAGTTAAACCAGTTAGACAGAGGCCAGGAGGACTCCTCAAACCACTGCCAGTGCCAGAGTGGAAGTGGGAGCACATTACCATGGATTTTATGTTTGGTTTACCTCATACCGCTAGTGGCTGTGATGGTATATGGGTAATAGTGGATAGACTTACTAAAACAGCACGGTTTATACCGATCAAAGCGACTTCTACACTAGATCAGCTAGCTAGGTTATACATTGATAAGATTGTAAGTCAGTATGGAGTGCCGGTGTCCATAATATCAGATAGAGATCCGAGATTTACCTCTAAGTTTTGGCCAAGTTTGCAGAAAGCAATGGGAACAAAGTTGAAGTTTAGTACAGCATTCCATCCTCAGACAGATGGTCAGTCAGAAAGGACTATCCAAACCTTAGAAGACATGTTGAGAGCATGCATTCTTCAGTTTAAAGGAGGTTGGGATACCCACTTATCACTTATGGAGTTTGCTTATAATAACAGCTACCAGTCTAGTATCGGCATGGCACCATTCGAAGCTTTGTACGGCAGACCATGCAGAACTCCTGTATGCTGGAACGAAGTGGGGGAGCGGAAGCTAGTTGGTCCTGAGTTGGTACAAGTTACGTCCAATAGTGTCAAGCTGATTAAAGAGAATCTAAAAATAGCTCAGGATCGACAGAAGAGCTACGCAGATAGGCGACGAAAAGATTTAGAATTTCAGGTTGGAGATCAAGTTTTCTTAAACTTATCTCCGTGGAAAGGTGTTCTTCGTTTTGGAAGGAAAGGTAAGCTGAGTCCCAGATATATTGGTCCTTATCAGATAACAGAACGAGTTGGACCAGTAGCCTATAGACTTGAGTTGCCGGCAGAACTTGCTCAAGTACATGATGTTTTTCATGTGTCCATGCTGAGAAAATATATTCCGGACCCATCGCATGTGTTGCAAGAGCAACTGTTTGAGCTGAAAGAAGACTTAAGTTATAAAGAGGAAGCGGTTCGGATCCTCGACAGAAAAGAGCAGGTTTTGAGGAACAAGACGATCCCATTCGTGAAAGTTCTATGGAGACATCACGGAGTGGAGGAGGCAACCTGGGAGTCAGAGGACCAGATGAGGAGGAATTACCCGACACTCTTCACCTGAGACTTCTAAATTTCGAGGACGAAATTTCATAAGGGAGAGGTGAGTTGTAAGCCCGAGACTTTCCTTGGATTACCTTTTCCTTGGCACAAAGTTGTATAGTTTCATTGTCAAAGAAAAATGGCAAAAGTTTATGGTTCATTGTGGTTATGGTTAGTTAAGTTGTTGGAATTATTAAATTAAAGAAAATGGAAATAAAAAAAAAAAGAAAGAAAGAAAACCTGCGGTGCTCCAACAAAACCCACCGCCAAATCCATTTATTTTCTTTTCTTTTTATTTTATTTAGACCATTTCTTTTCTTGTCTTTTTCCATCCCATTTGCAGAGGTTCTCGAGGGAGAGAGAGTGAAGGAAGGGGGAAAAAGGAAGTTTCAGAGAAATTGAGGTTGAAGAAGAAAGGAGAAGCTGAAGTCAAGACAGCTCGGCAGAAGTTGTTTTCAACCTAATAATTTCTAGGTTTTGAAGCGGTTTGAGTTWCTCCAAAMGAACCAAGGAAGCACGGGATTTCCGTACAAACCARGAGGGGTTTTGGGGCTTCTCTGGTTTTTCAAGCGTTCTGAGGTGTGCAAGCTGGATCCGAAGCTCCATTTGGTGAAAGATAGAGAGGAGCAGAGAGACGMAAATCTGAATGTTCGGTGTTCAGGGCATTTCTGGGCAAAATCGGGTACRAATCTCGTTTTCATTYCTTGRGRTAAGTTGTAAGGGATTCGGAAATGGAGAGGTTGATATGTGATGTGTTARTATTGGTTAAATATTAAGGGAGTATGGGKGTTGGTATTTATGGTATGAAATCTGGAAAAAAATGGGAAGGAAAATGTGAATGGTGGTTTAATTCTAAGTGTWCTAAACTCATAAATGTGGGAAAATAAGACTACTTATGGTTYTAATGTTCGGTTTTGGATGTTTAACAGGCCRAKAGRAAATAGGTCGAGCTTGCAGGTCAGGAAACTAGCCAAGACTGTGAGTGACAAAATGAATTTCGAAAATTATCCCTAAATGGTTGTTCATGTTTGAATGTCTTATATGTTTTATTATAAATGATCCATGATTCCAATGAATGGTTTCAAGCTTAAGTTGAGAGCTGGATTTTCTAATGAGATTTAGGAACGAGCACGTGGTTGATGGTTTTATAAAAAATGGTTGAAATGAGTTTATTTTGGGTAAAGTATTGTTAAAAGATTTTACTGCTTTTCCATGAGCATGTGGAGTAAGCTTAAGTTTTTCGAAGCTAACGATAGCAAGCATGTTTTAATGTTCCCATATTTTTTCTTGAGATTCCTGACTGAGATGTGGAGCTCGAGGTTATATGGTACTGTGTGCACATAGGTTATATTCCGTTGTTGACATTGAGTTTACTCCGTGACAACGATGCTGTTGTGAGTGCTGGGCGGGCCCCATTACGACAAAGACGATGGGAGTGCTGGGCGGGCCCCACTACATCGTAGAACTAGTAAACGTTGATTGAATCGGGCGTGCTTTGCACAACGTGGTCATGACATGCTAGTTAAGATGTATATTATACTTGATATGCCTTGCTGAGTTTAAAATAACGCGTTTGCAGATCTGTTCCTAGGGAGTTTTATTCGATACACGTTTCGTTAAATACTTTGACTGAGCTAGTTATACGCTTAAAGTATTATCACGTGTTCTGACCTCTGAATCTACAGTTTTTTTTTTTTAAAAACTATGTCAGTCACAGGGCTTGTAGCTCACTCTTTAGAAATGTTTTTTTTTTCTGGTTACCAGGTAGAGATTGAGCTCTCGGAGCCTGATACGTCGCTAACGTCCGCTGAAATCCTAAACAAGCTCCAGTACGTGGGTAGTGTTGTACATTGAGTCTGTTCATATTGTGCAGGTCTGTAGGGATTGGAAATTATAATTATGTAAGTTCTAGAGGGCATGGTTGTATATGTCCCAGGTGGTTGTGTTTTTGGTTGTAGTATCTACTGAGTTATTTTCCAAATCAAGTTATGTTGGAACTGTGTTTCATGTGTGTAAAAAGGTTCTCAGAAATTCCGCTGTGTTGTGTGTTACATTAAACATTTGTTTCAATGAGTAACGCGTTTATCAGGGTTAACGTTTTGGTAGGGTCGACAGGGATCGTTAAGGGAAGACGATGTCTGTTGTCTTCGCGCCAACTTCTAGACTAGGCTAGCAGGTGGTCCGGGAGGGGGTGTGACACTGGTCCGGAGCTACATGTTGATCCACAGCAGGAGTGACTGGATCAGAGCTTCGAACTGTCTTAAGGGCGTGAGCACGGCCCTTAGACTTAAGCTTCACGCTGCTCGTGAATCCACACACCATGGCTGCAATATAAATAATATGAAAAGTCAGAAGTGAAAACTTGAAGCTGAGATTGAAGTCGAGATCGAACACGGCTTACCGAGCTCGGAGTTTGGCCTTGAAGCTTCAATTTGATGAACTAAAGGGTTGTAGTCCAATAGCCCTGACTCTAGGAGCAGCTTGTCGGTGACCAAGGTCCCGATCTTCCGGCCCCTTGGGAAGTGGTCCTTGTAGTGTTTGAGGGTGTCGAAGGTGGCTTGAGCGAGCTCGAGAATCGGCTTAATCGATACTGCACAAAACGAACAAAGGTTCGAGTTAGATGTGAAAGGCAAGAAATTAAAAGGAAAGGAAACAAGAAAGACTCCATACCTAAGTTCCCAAACCTAATGGGAATATCAAAGAAGGCGCGACCAGACTCGTCCTTTGCTAGCCACTCCCCTGAGGCAAAGAACCGCTTCCGTACCCATCCTTTGATGGAGGTCGGCCCCTTGACTATACCACCTGCGCCTTTCTTTGCGCACATGTAGTACCGACCAGGCTTCTTAGCTATCCTCTTGGCTTCGAAGCATCCCAGAAGTTGCTCGACACTTAGTAGCTCGGCCTCGTCCTCATCCCGAGCTCGCAACCAAAAAAGAATGGCTAAGGCAAAAATGACACCCCATCCATTGGGGGCCACTTGTGCCGGTGCCAAACCAGTTCGGTTGAGGAACTCTTGAGCAAAAGGGTGGAGAGGAAGTCTGAGGTTGTACTTAAACATCTTTAAATAAAGAGTGACCATCCCTCTGGAGGATTGTCAACTCTTTCCCCTTCTTCCAGAATCCTAAGAAGGATATCATTCAGAATTTTAAACCCCCTACGGAGGGGTCCAAGATAATGTTAAGGCATTTTAGAAGGGTATTCCAAACCCTGGCCCGAGGTGGAAGTGTCACTCTCCTCCCCGTCGTCTGAGAACCTAAAGTTCTCTATTTCTTCCAGCTCGGACTCTAACCTATGAGCTAAGCCCTCCCAAGAATCACTTGGTTTTGGGGGCGAACTACTTATGGTATGACCCGCACTACCTAAACTATCACTACTGGAGGGGGAAGACAAGAAAACCACCATATTTGAAAAAAAGAAAGAGAGAAGAAGTAATGAGAATGACTGACCTACAGAAGGTTCGAGCTGGTTTCAGATCGAACTCCAGAAATTCAGGAAACGTAAGGTCTGACCTGAAATCTCGGGACTATTTATAGCTAATTGGAAAAATCTCTGCGCCGTACACGTGTAATCAACGAGCGGCTAGGATCATCTCGAGATCCGTAACGACGAAGTACTTGAGTGCTCCGACAACTTGGCAGATCGAAACGTCTTCTGCAACGGTCATATTCCCTCTACGAATTAAAAGTCACCACGTGTCCAAAATGGATTCGGATGAACTTCTCTGCCAGGTCGAGATCGAACCTGACAGAGAGGGGACCAATGTTTGGGGGTAAACATACCCAGGACACGTGGAGGACCCTTATTGGTGTTTGAAGAAACTGGATAAGAGGGATTGCCTAGGTCCACCTCGGCCTTGCCGAGGAGATCGGGTTCGCCCATTATAAAAGGCTAAGTATGGGCGTCAAGGTTCGACCTGGTTGGGGTCCGACCTGCTTGGAACCCGACAGGTTCGACATGAGAAAAGACATATAACCGCCAGTCGTGTGTACTGTTGGATCCATCACCTATAAATAGAGGGCTTCATTTCACGCTCAGGTATCGAATCTCACCTCGAACTAAATACAGAATCCGATCTATACTGACTTGAGCGTCGGAGTGCTTACCTTCTTGTGCAGGTCCACTCTAGTGTTCAGATCGAAACCGGAGGCCGGGTTCGAGCTTGATTCGTGAAGAATCGTTGTGCAAACTCTTGCATAAACACATGCGAATCCTGACCTGCCACGTGTCGTGATCGAAAAGGTGAGTTGGATGAACACGCAGACGAAACATAGAAATTGACTCCAAAGTACTCAGGTCGGCGGATAGGGCCGGACCTAAAGTGCCGAGCCGACCTGAAACAAAGTCCGTGACAATGTCTCTTCCGCACCTGACAACATGCCGCGATTTTAGGGAGTGTCAGAATTCCTGTCGGGCCCAGTTTCTATAAATAGAAACCCTTGCCTTAAATGCAAGGTACGCAATCCTAAGTAGACTCGGCAAGTTAGCTCGGACTAGGACTGACTTGCCTGTCGGAGTGCTAACTTTGTTTTGCAGGTCTCCAGAGTGTTCTGGGAAGGTGTTGGACCGTTGGCCATAGTTCATCCTGAACGTTCTGATCTACGTTACATCCGAGCTCAGCAATTTCGGGCTCAAACATCTGGCGCCGTCTGTGGGAAAGACACATCTAGAAGTTAGTCTCACCTTTTGCAATCTGAGCCAATGGCCCAAACCCGCTCCCAGCAGTCACGATCTCAACTTTCACCAATCCGCTCTCCGATGAGGGATGC